TGACCCCACAGACGGGATTTTACCGCAGCCTCAGATGCAACCACTCAAACAGAGCCCAGTGTGATCTTTGGAACCCCTTCCCTACCAGAACCCCGGGTGCCTACGCTTGAGTTTTTTACAGGAGACCGCAGGAAGTTCAGAACTTTTTGTAACTCCTGCGAGCTATATTTTTCACTGCTTCCAAGGACCTTTACATCTCCAAGTACTAAAGTGGGATTCATCATCACACTTCTTAGGAATGAACCCCAATCCTGGGCACACCACCTTCGTGAGCAACATGTTCTGGCTCTAACTTTGGTGGACTCTTTTTTTTCACAGCAATGGCACAAATCTATGCTTATCCTTTCCTGCGTCAAACCGCTGAATCCATGCTTAGCAAGCTACAGTAAGTCTAAAGGCCTGTGGAAGAATATGTTACCGATTTCCGCATCTGGCGTTCCGATACTCAATGGAATGACTCTGCTCTCCGCTACCAGTTCCGTCTTGGCCTTTCTGACACCCCGAAAGATGAGCTTCCTGAGTAGGGGTACCAAGCAGGCTGGAGAACCTGATAGACCTGACTATCCACATTGACCGTCGGATTCGGGAGAGACAGGATGAGAAAACTAACGGGGGAGATTCTGAAATGTTCAGAAATGGGGACTCCTGTGCCCTCTACGAATGCTGTTCCATCAGAGTTACCCATTAATCAAGGAAAACATATTAATCCATTTAGGAGGAGCTTTTGGAGACCACAGTTGTCCGCTGCAGAACGTATTCGATGACAGAAGCTCAACCTCTGTCTCTACTGTGGTGACACAGGTCATTATGTAGTGACGTGTCCAATCAGACCTCATAAGCCCTCTCCCAGCTGGTTCTATATGATGCATCCCCAAGGAACAAGCCAAACGCATCTCTCCCATCTTCAACTACAACTGGCCGAAAGGATGATTACGGTCCGGCCATTATAGACTCGGGTGCTTGTAGTTGTTTCATGCATGCAAAATTTGCTACCCAGAATAAGATTCCGCTCCGTACCAAGGCACAAAGACTTTTGGTTTATCTAGTGGATGGGTCTGGTATCAGTTCTGGCCCTGTGACACAAGAGACCATGCCAATGTTATGCCTCACCTCCTCGGGACACCAGGAATTTCTGTGTCTGGATATCATTACTTCCCCAATATTTCCAGTTATTCTCAGCATGCCCTGGCTAAGAGCACACAACCCAACCATCAATTGGTTGTCTGGAGAAATCCTCTTCCCTATACTGTCTGAACCACTGTATTCCTAAAGAACCAAGTGCAGCAACCTCTCTTCTTAGTATTCACTCTGATCCTGAGACCATGAAACTCGTTCCTGTTTTTTTACCACAAGTATCTGGACGTATTTAATAAAAAGAGTGCCAATACTCTTCCTCCTCATCATTCCTATGATTGTCCGATTTGAGCTCCTGCCCAGTGCCGAAATTCCTTTTGGACAAATTTTTACCCCCTATCCAAAGTAGAATTGGAGGTCTTCCACGGTTATATTGATGAGAGTCTGGAAAAAGCGTTTATTCGGCCTTCTACATCACCAGCAGGAGCTGGCATTTTCTTTGTTGAGAAGAAGGATCACACCCTCAGACCCTGTGTGGACTATCGTAACCTGAATAAGATAACAGTCAAAAATCGTTATCCCCTGCCTCTAATTCCTGAGTTATTCCAAAGGCTGCGAGGAGCATGTTTCTTCTCAAAACTGGATCTGAGGGTCACTTACAATCTCTGGTTAGAATTCGCAAAGGTGACGAATGGAAGACGGCATTCCGAACTCGCTTCAGGCATTTTGAATACCTGGTGATGCCTTTTGGTCTCTGTAATTCCCCAGAGCAACCTTCCAACACCTTGTAAACAATATATTTCGGGACTATTTGGATCTATTCATAATCATTTACCTGGATGATATCTTGTTTTTTTCCAGTTCAATAGAAAGACATCAGGATCATGTGAAGAAGACTGGATAGATTATGCCAACATCACCTTTATACAAAAGCTGAAAAATGTGAATTTGATAGACAGTCTATCCAGTTCCTTGGACTTGTGATCACCCCCGAGGGCATTTCCATGGACCCCCAAAAAGTGTCCTCTGTATTGGACTGGCCCGTTCCAGGAGACAGAAAAGCAGTTCAGCGTTTCATAGGATTTGCAAATTTCTACAGGAACTTTATCAAAAACTTCTCTGAGATCATCGCACCAGTAACACAGCTCACCAAGCAGCCTTTGAGCAATTAAAGAACTTATTCACCTCCGCACCTATCCTGAAGCACCCAGATCCTGCTCTAGCCTTTGTCCTCGAAGTGGACACTTTGGAGAATGCTGTAGGAGCCATATTGTCACAAAGACAGGGACTCAAATCCCTTCTGCACAATGTTGCATTTTTTCCAGGAAGTTAAATGCCTCTGAAAGGAACTATGACGTGGGAGATAGAGAGCTGCTAGCCATCAAGGCAGCACTTGAGGAATGGTGCTACTTACTGGAAGGAGCATTCCATCCTATTCTCATCTTCACAGACCATAAGAACCTTGTATACCTGAAAACGGCAAAACGCCTAAGGCCATGACAAGCAAGATGGGCATTATTTTTCTCCTCCTTTGTCTTCCATTTGACATACCGTCCTGGATCAAAAAATGGTAAACCCGATGCACTCTCCCGTATGTTTCCCGACCCAATCGTACATTCTGAATCTGACATGATTTTGCCGGCCAAGAACTTTTTACTTCTGCAGACAGACCTTGTAACACAAATAAGAGAAGTGGTGGACAATCATCCACCCTCCATAGATATGCATCTTCAGCTAAAGGACAGTCTGTATTTTCATAAGGAACAAATCTTTGTGCCCGAAGAACTCAGGACTCTTATCCTCAAAAGGTGTCATGATCACCCCTTAGCGGGTCACTTCGGGATCCACAAGACCTCAAATTTGGCCTCTCGCTCCATCTGGTGGCCAAACTCAATAAAAGATTGCCAGGACTATGTGAGGTCTTGTACGGTTTGCCTTAGAAACAAGTCTGACAAAGCCAAGACCTGGGGCCTGTTGGAATCTTTGCCCGTACCGGGAAAACTTTGGAGTATGATCTCCATGGATTTTATTGTGGAACTTCCCCCATCGGAGGGATTTACCACTATTTTTGTAGTGGTGGACCGCCTGTCAGAAATGGCTTACTTCATTCCCGTGAAAGGGACTCCTTCCACCACGGAAACTGCCTCTGGTTTTATCAAAGAGATCGTAAGACTACATGGCGTTCCTAGTAATATTGTATCTGACCGAGGAGTACATGTTACATCCAAGTTCTGCAAAGCTCTGTGTGAGGTATTAAAGATTGAATTACGCTTCTCCTTTGCGTATCACCCGCAAACAAATGGACAGACGAAGAGAACGAACCAAACTCTGGAACAATACTTCTGATACTTATATTCACAGGATGACTGGGTATCTCTCCTTCCGTTACCGGAGTTCGCATAAAATAATTCCATTCACTCGGCTACCAAGCAATCCCCCTTTTACTCCAACTATGGATATCATCCCTCCTTCCTTGCGAAAATACCAGTGGAACCCGCTGTCCCGGCAGTACAAGAAAGGATGGAGTTCCTCAGGAGGAACGAGGAGATATTGCAGAAAACTTTTTCCGAAGCTTAGGCGAGTAACAAAAACATTTTTGACAGAAGGGTCAACTTAAATCTGAAACAAGGGGATAAAGTCTGGTTATCCACGGCAAATCTAAAATTGAATTGTCCTTCGAGAAAGCTTGGTCCAAGATACATGGGACCATTTACTATCGAGAAAAGTTAACCCTGTAGCTTTCAAATTAAAACTACCTGCTAATGTGAAGATTCACCCGGTGTTCCATTGCTCCTTGCTAAAACCACATATTCCAGATGGATTTTCCACTCGAGATCTGGAGGCGCCAGTTCTACTGCTGGTTGAAGGAAATGAAAAATACGAGGTTGAGGCTATCTTGAATTGTAGGAAGAGGGGCAGACAGACTCAGTTTCTCATTAAATGGAAAGGTTATGGACCAGAGGATAATTCCTGGGAGCCATCCACTAATGTCCATGCCCCACGGATAGTTTAAGCCTACCTCCATCTTCACCCTGAAAAACCAGCCCTAGTGGGCATTCAGAGGCTGCCCCCTAAGGGGGGGGGGGGGGCAATGTAAGGGATTTCCAGCAAGACGAATCGTGATCGGAAATGCACATGCACATAAGAATTACCGGTTGTGCGCATGCACGCAGAAATGCTCAATCGCGCACGTGCACACATACGGCAAATATTGGCGCCAGACTACCTATTTAAAGAGTGTCTCTGCCCATGTTGATGACCCTGGCTATTCCCATGACACTGCTCCTGTCTCTTACCCTCACTACCTGCCTTGCTGTGGTGCACGCCTGGGAATCTACAAGACCTGTTCTGCTTGTTACTACTGTGTCTGAAGATAATTGGTCTTTCAAGGTCATTATCTGCAAGAGCTGCAAACAACTACTGGTGCTCTTGTTCCCCTGGGTCCTAGACTCCCTCTGTTCCAACTCCAGTGGGGTCAGGGCTAGTGACACAAGTGAGGCCAACCTTGTCATTTCAGTCTCTGATCAGGTACGTGACAATCTTCCTGCTGCTTGAGTTCTCCTGCTTTCATTCAACTGCTGTGTTTGACTGCTTCTTAGCACTCCATCAATGCAGCACTCACTCAAAAGCAGCACCCCATCAGTGCCTGTGCCCCCCCCATCTGTGACTGCCCCCCATCAGTGATCTCCCCCCATAAACTGTTCTATCTTTATAGGGAGATGGCCAAATGAGCATTCATCTCCGCCCCAATTAGGAACTGATAAGGATCATCATGTTCGTCCTCCTCCTCCATAGTCATGTTCGTCCTCTTCCTCCATAGTCATGTCAGTCCTCTTCCTCCATAGTCACTGTGACGTCTTTTATCTCCAGCAGATGATGATACACATCAATATTTAGAAGGACACAAGGATCTCTACAAGGACGTCATGATGGACAATCAGCCGCCCCTCACATCACCGGGTAAGAGGAGACTTTATTGTAAAGGAGAGAGCAGTACGGAGGATCCACCTAGATCCCCCATCATCTGATAAACACATAGAAACAATGGATTCAGTCAGTGTGTGTGTTTTCCTACAGATGGATCCAGTCATGGGAACCCACCAGAGAGATGTCCCCGTCCTCTGTATTCCCGGGATTCCACACAGGAAGGTCACACCATCCCTCACCATCATCAGGTAGATGATGACAATTATTGGTAGTTGTGATTTATACACAGCATGTTTGTTACAATGAATGTTTTATTATATCTTTCAGAGTGGAATCCTCGGGGATGATAATATTGATGTTAAAGAAGAGTATAAAGAGGAGGATGAGGAGTATGGAGTGATGGAGGAGTTTTCAGAAGGACACAAGGATATGATGGAGCCACCTAATACCAGGAACCCACCAGAGAGATGTCCCCGTCCTCTGTATTCCCGGGATTCCACACAGGAAGGTCACACCATCCCTCACTATTACAAGGTTGGTGGGATGGAGCATCTAGAACATGGACTCATGGAGACAATGTGTGGAGATTTTTTTATGTGACCTTCCATTTTACAGATGATATTTTCTCTCATTTCCTTGATTTAGAGTGGAGATCCAATCGATATAGAATTTGAGGTGAAAGCAGAAGAAGAAGAGGCGTATGTGAGGGATGATCAGCAGTCTATGGAGGAGGATGGAATAACGGGGACATTTATAGAGGAGGACACTCCTACAGAGATCAGCACAGGTGGGTCATGAACACTAAATCCATTCCTCCACCCATACTGCTCACTGATTGGTCCAGAGTAGGGCGGGGACTGGGTGATATCAGCCTGTAATCCCCTGGTCACTTTCCTGAGCTGTGTTCCCCGTCCTGTATTCCTGGATTTCTCTCGGATAATCTTCCTTCTCTGTGCTGCAGACACAATTTATGTATCTAGACTGGATTTATGGAGGTTCTGGGGTTCAGCTGGCAGAAAAATGTTGATTTTTACTCTAAGCATTGCATAATGTAGGCACCCAGGACATGTGACTGGGGTCTCCTGCCTTGTGCCTGACTCCTCCAGGGGACCTTCTCTGTTATCTGCTGGCTGTGCCGGGTGGAGGGATATATGTCTGTAGTGTCTCAGACCCAAGTCACTGAGTGCAGTCTCAGGAGATGGGAGGCAGCGGTGTGGGACCTACATAGTTACATAGTTAGTCTGGCTGAAAAAAGACATCCATCTAGTTGTACCATTAAAAATAAAAGTTATAATCCGACACCCACAGCTGATCCACCAGAAGGCAAAAACCCAGCAAAGCACGATCCAATCTGCTCCTGCAGGGGAAAAAATTCCTTCCTGACCCCCCCGAGAGGCAATCGGATATTCCCTGGATCAACTTTCCCTATAAATGTTATATCCAGTTTATATTCTGTGTATCCAAGAAAGAATCCAGGACTTTCCTACAGCAATCCCCCCTTATGTATTATACATGGAGATCATATCCCCCCTTATGTATTATACATGGAGATCATATCCCCCCTTATGTATTATACATGGAGATCATATCCCCCCCTTATGTATTATACATGGAGATCATATCCCCCCTTATGTATTATACATGGAGATCATATCCCCCCTTATGTATTATACATGGAGATCATATCCCCCCTTATGTATTATACATGGAGATCATATCCCCCCTTATGTATTATACATGGAGATCATATCCCCCCCTTATGTATTATACATGGAGATCATATCCCCCTTATGTATTATACATGGAGATCATATCCCCCCTTATGTATTATACATGGTGATCATATCCCCCCCTTATGTATTATACATGGAGATCATATCCCCCCCTTATGTATTATACATGGAGATCATATCCCCCCTTATGTATTATACATGGAGATCATATCCCCCCTTATGTATTATACATGGAGATCATATCCCCCCTTATGTATTATACATGGAGATCATATCCCCCCTTATGTATTATACATGGAGATCATATCCCCCCTTATGTATTATACATGGAGATCATATCCCCCCCTTATGTATTATACATGGAGATCATATCCCCCCTTATGTATTATACATGGAGATCATATCCCCCCTTATGTATTATACATGGAGATCATATCCCCCCTTATGTATTATACATGGAGATCATATCCCCCCTTATGTATTATACATGGAGATCATATCCCCCCTTATGTATTATACATGGAGATCATATCCCCCCTTATGTATTATACATGGAGATCATATCCCCCCCTTATGTATTATACATGGAGATCATATCCCCCCTTATGTATTATACATGGAGATCATATCCCCCCTTATGTATTATACATGGAGATCATATCCCCCCCTTATGTATTATACATGGAGATCATATCCCCCCCTTATGTATTATACATGGAGATCATATCCCCCCCTTATGTATTATACATGGAGATCATATCCCCCCTTATGTATTATACATGGAGATCATACCCCCCCCTTATGTATTATACATGGAGATCATATCCCCCCTTATGTATTATACATGGAGATCATATCCCCCCTTATGTATTATACATGGAGATCATATCCCCCCCTTATGTATTATACATGGAGATCATATCCCCCCTTATGTATTATACATGGAGATCATATCCCCCCTTATGTATTATACATGGAGATCATATCCCCCCTTATGTATTATACATGGAGATCATATCCCCCCTTATGTATTATACATGGAGATCATATCCCCCCCTTATGTATTATACATGGAGATCATACCCCCCCCTTATGTATTATACATGGAGATCATATCCCCCCTTATGTATTATACATGGAGATCATATCCCCCCTTATGTATTATACATGGAGATCATATCCCCCTTATGTATTATACATGGAGATCATATCCCCCCCTTATGTATTATACATGGAGATCATATCCCCCCTTATGTATTATACATGGAGATCATATCCCCCCTTATGTATTATACATGGGGATCATATCCCCCCTTATTTATTATACATGGGGATCATATCCCCCCTTATGTATTATACATGGTGATCATATCCCCCCTTATGTATTATACATGGAGATCATATCCCCCTTATGTATTATACATGGAGAGATCATATCCCCCCTTATGTATTATACATGGAGATCATATCCCCCCTTATGTATTATACATGGAAGATCATATCCCCCCCTTTTTGTACAGAGAAAGAGGAAACTCCCAATATCAGCAATAACACTATGATGGATGGATAAGCGTCTGTATACCACTCTCACCGCAGGCAGGTTACACAGAGGATTAAACACACAGTAGCGCTCTTCAACGTTGCAGGAATTTGTAATTTGCATTAAAGAGCTATAGAAACAGTTCCCAACACTTTCAGAAAGTAAGATTGATTACTAAATCCCCAAAAGGGTGCAATAAAAATATTTACAGATCCCCCCTGTAGCCAATATATATATAAATATACAGAGAACAATAACTCCAGCAAAGAGATAACAGAGAGAAGTCAGAGGGTTAAAGTACTTGCCACATGTCCTGGGTTGAGCAGCTTCCAAGTTTCAGAGCCAGAAGGATGCTTTGATCTCCCACTGTTAGTTTCAATGTTAAAGCAGGGAGATCTTCAACTCTCACACACACAGCTTCAACTCCAAGCATAACAGCCTTTTTCTAGGATCTCAGCATGGTGTTTCATTACAGAAGAGAACCAATTGCCTCATTTGGGGAGGGGTGTCGGGGCGGAGCCCCCCCCATAGCTAGAACAAAAATTCCTCATATCTTATATTATGGCCCATAACTTTTCCTAGGTACATGTAATATTCCCACCCACGGGTAGATTAATACGCAGAATCATCTGCTGACATTTCTACATATGAAATATGACATACCTGCTGGGATGGTTAAGGAGATATTACCACCATTTTTCTGCTCTCCTGTTGATCTCAGCTAGGGGATGTAATAGGCCAAACAATTTGTATTAAAGTGGGCCATCCGAATATTTGTTTGTGTAAGTCTTCCATAATCCAAGATATGTAATCATAGGGAAAATGGATGTTGAATGTGGTGTCTGTTTATGGCTTCTCTGGAATGTCTTTGAACTTTGAGAAGGACTCGGTTTACGCTTTTATGACCTTTCCAAGCAAGAGTTTCTTAGACAGAGGGGCACCAAGCTAGTGAGGTTTTATAGCCAGGATGCCCTCCCACTGAGCTTGTTGAGTACCCAGAATTAAAAAAAAAAATTCAGGAAATCCCATTGTATGATTTGTAAAGAATGTATTTGTCTTGCACTGCTGAACAGAAGTATTTGAACACCTGAGAAACAGCAAGAATTCTGGCTCTCAAAGACCTGTTACTGTGCCTTTAAAAAGTCCACCTCTACTCCACTCATTCATCTCACTTAGTAGCACCTGTCTGAGCTCTTTAAAGACACCTGTCCACCCCACAGTCAGTCAGACGCCAACTACTACCATGGGCAAGATCAAAGAGCTGTCAAAAGACACCAGAGACAAAATTGTGGACCTCCACAAGACTGGAAAGGGCTACGGGGCAATTGCCAAGCAGCTTGGTGAAAATAGATCAACTGTTGGAGCAATTGTTAGAATATGGAAGAGGCTAAAGACGACTGTCAGTCTCCCTCGGACTGGGGCTCCATGCAAGATGTCACCTCGTGGGGTATCACTGATGATAAGAAAAGTGAGGAATCAGCCCAGAACTACAAGGGAGGAGCTGGTCAATGACATGAAGAGAGCTGGGACCACAGTTTTCAAAGGTCACTGTCGGTAGAACCCTACGCCTTCATGGTTTCAAATCATGCATTGCACGGAAGGTTCCCCTGCTCAAGTCATCACATGTCCAGGCCCGTCTGAAGGTTCCCCTGCTCCAGTCATCACATGTCTAGGCCCGTCTGAAGGTTCCCCTGCTCCAGTCATCACATGTCCAGGCCCGTCTGAAGGTTGCCACTGACCATCTGGATGATCCAGAGGAGGCATGGGAGAAAGTCATGTGGTCAGATGAGACCAAAGGAGAACTTTTTGGTCTAAACTTCACTCTTCGTGTTGGGATGCAAATCATCCTTTTTAATCCAAAGAACACCATCCCTACTGTGAAGCATGGGGGTGGTAACATCATGCTTTGGGGGTGTTTTTCTGTGAAGGGGACAGGACGACTGCACTGTATTAAGGAGAGGATGAATGGGGCCATTTATTGTGAGATTTTCAGCAACAACTGACCCCTCCCTCAGTCAGAGCATTGAAGATGGGTCGTGGCTGGGTCTTCCAACATGACAACGACCCGAAGCACACAGCCAGGAGAACCAAGGAGTGGCTCCGTAAGAAGCATATCAAGGTTCTGGAGTGGCCTAGCCAGTCTCCACACCTAAATCCAATAGAACATCTTTGGAGGGAGCTGCACTAAACTCCGTTGTTGCTCAGCGACAGCCCCGAAACCTGACAGATATAGAGGAGATCGGTGTGGAGGACTCGGCCAAAATCCCTGTTGCAGTGCAAACCTGGCCAAGGACTACAGGAAACGTCTGACCTCTGTAATTGCAGACAAAGGCTTTTGTACCAAATATTAACACGGATCTTCTCAGGGGTTCAAATATTTATGTTCAGCCGTGCGAGACAAATACATTCTTTACAAATCATCCATCAATGTGATCTCCTGAATTCTGTCCTCAGATTATTCCCCTGCAATGTGACATGTCAGACCCCTGCACTGACCATTTGGACATTACACTCGGGCACCGCCCGAGGTCAGTATATACCCCATAGTTGCCCCTGGTACTTTCCTTCATGCACTTTACTCTGAGTTTACATTACATACCCCTGACCCCTATTGCACTATATACCCTATGAGTTGTACATTACCACCCCTGGTCACCCCCTCCATAAGGAGAAGTTGGAGAACTTGCAACATCGCAGGGGGTTCAAATACTTCTGTTGTCATTACATACTCCTGACCCCTGCACTATATACTCTATGTTGTACATTCCATACTCCTGACCCCTGCACTATATACTCTATGTTGTACATTACATACTCCTGACCCCTGCACTATATACTCTATGTTGTACATTACATACTCCTGACCCCTGCACTATATACTCTATGTTGTACATTACATACTCCTGACCCCTGCACTATATACTCTATGTTGTACATTACATACTCCTGACCCCTGCACTATATACTCTATGTTGTACATTACATACTCCTGACCCCTGCACTATATACTCTATGTTGTACATTACATACTCCTGACCCCTGCACTATATACTCTATGTTGTACATTACATACTCCTGACCCCTGCACTATATACTCTATGTTGTACATTACATACTCCTGACCCCTGCACTATATACTCTATGTTGTACATTCATAGTCCTGACTTCTGCTCCCCCCTCCCCCCACTGCTATATATACACATAATATGGATTCTCTTTTGTTCCCCCCATTTCCTCCCAGCTGGACATTTTATATCGGATGATGTGATTGGAGCACAGACTTTTACATGGTGATAATAATGTGATAACATCCTCCAACTTTGGACCCTTAAACAGAAAGTGATAATGAGGGAGGAGTCAATACCCCAATGATGGTGGTCTTCAGGATCAGTCCAGTCTTCATCTTGGTTGTTCTCCCCCCATCCTCACTCTCTGACCTCTGGTGGGGCTCAGCCCCGCTGTTCTTCATGACTAAATCATGGACTAAATAAGGAAGTGCAGTACTTCTTGTGTTGGGAAGATGGCGATGAGTGATAGAGGGGGTGGGGACCCTCGTCCTATAATCCCCTCATCACTGTCCCTCCTATAAAAGACAGTTCTGGTTGTTTCCTCACTCTCTGACTAAGGTCCATGAATAAAGAAATGACCTGGTAGGAGATCAGAGGAGCCATTTCCTAGTTCCCTTGAGGGTGGAATTGTAAGCTCCTCAGAGACCAAGCTGCCTGATGTGGGCGGAGTCCTGGTTTGGGGGAACCAATCAGCTCCTGTCTAGTAATCCTCTTTGTCTTTGTATTTTAGTCCATGGCCGGGAGATGAGGAAAACCTCCGAGGATTGTCTCACTTTGTCTCCAGACTGGAAAGTAGAAGATGAGGACATCACACAGTATAGTCCAGGAGAAAACCCGGCTCCCTCCAATGTCCATCCGGCACCACCCAGTGTAGATGGACCATCGGATTCCTCGTATCCTGAGGAACCTCAGACTGTGCGGGACCGGGCCGGCCTTCCAACAGGGAAGAGGTTCTCCTGTCCTGAGTGCGGGAAGGGTTTCCATTTTAAATCCCATCTAAATATTCATAAAAGATCTCACACGGGGGAAAAACCATATTCCTGTCCTGAGTGCGGGAAATGTTTTTCACATAAGTGCAATCTTGACACACATCAGAGATCTCACACGGGGGAGAAGCCGTATTCCTGTCCTGAGTGCGGGAAATGTTTTTCACAGAAGTTCAGTCTTTACTCACATCAGAGATCTCACACGGGAGAGAAGTTATATTCCTGTCCTGAGTGCGGGAAATGTTTTTCACATAAGTGCAATCTTGACACACATCAGAGATCTCACACTGGGGAGAAGCCATATTCCTTGCCCTGAGTGCGGGAGATGTTTTTCACAAAAGTCCAGTCTTTACAATCATCAGAGATCTCACACAGGAGTAAAGCCATATTCCTGTTCAGAGTGTGGGAAATGTTTTTCTCATATTTCCGGCCTTTACAGACATCAGAGATCTCACACAGGGGAGAAGCCACATTCTGTCCTGAGTGTGGGAAATGTTTCTTAACAAGTCCCATCTTTACACACACCAGAGATCTCACACAGGGGAGAAGCCATATTCCTGTCCAGAGTGTGGGAAATGTTTCTCAGACAAGTCCTATCTTTACACACATCAGAGTTTGCACACGGGGAGAAACCGTATTCCTGTTCTGAGTGCGGGAAATGTTTTTCAGTGAAGTCCACTCTTTACAGACATCAGAGATCTCACACGGGGGAGAAGCCGTATTCCTGTCCTGAGTGCGGGAAATGTTTTGCACGGAAGTCCCATCTTTACACACATCAGAGATTGCACACGGGGGAGAAGCCGTATTCCTGTCCTGAGTGCGGGAAACGTTTTGCATGGAAGTCCCATTTTCACACACATCAGAGATTGCACACGGGGGAGAAGCCATATTCTTGTCCTGAGTGCGGGAAATTGTTTTGCACGAAAAACAGATCTTGTCAAACATGAAAGGTCTCACACAGGTGAGAAGCCGTATTCCTGTTCTGAGTGTGGGAAATGTTATTCAGAGATGTCCAGTCTTTACACACATCAGAGATCTCACACAGGGGAGAAGCCGTATTATTCCTGTCATGAGTGTGGGAAATGTTTTTCAGGGAAGTCCAATCTTTATAAACATCAGAGATCTCACACGGGGAAGAAGCCGTATTCCTGTCCTGAGTGCGGGAAATGTTTTTCACAGAAGTCCCATCTTTCCATACATCAGAGATCTCACACGGGGGAGAAGCCGTATTCCTGTTCTGAGTGCGGGAAATGTTTTTCACAGAAGTCCGGTCTTTCCACACATCAGAGATCTCACATGGGGGAGAAGCCGTATTCCTGTCCTGAGTGCGGGAAATGTTTTTCACAGAAGTCCATCTTTCCATACATCAGAGATCTCACACGGGGGAGAAGCCGTATTCCTGTCCTGAGTGTGGGAAATGTTTTTCACAGAAGCCCCATCTTTACAAACATCAGAGATTGCACACACGAGGGAGAAGCCACTTTCCTGTCCCTGAGTGAGGAAAATGTTCCTCACTGATGTGATGACAGGGAAGTCCTGTCTTCCTGTACATCAGGGGTCCCACACAACCCTGGAGGTGTATTAGTGCCTTGAGTGCGGGAAATGTCTTCTAGATGAATGTTGCTGGACATCCCAGCTCTCATGTGGGGAAGAAGCCCACCCTGATATACACCTCAGATATACTCCATGGCTGATCTTCATCATGGAAGAAACAGTTCATAAGGAGATCAGAGGCCCCCAAAGACATGGATGAAGTGTGGGACCGGGTTGGCCATTGATGGCAGGAGAAGAATAAAAATGGAGTCCTGCCCTGTGATTGGCTGAGTACATTTGTGGTGGGAGATTTCACAAACACTTGGAGGTCTATTATTGATACTTTGTGGACAAATGTTCCAAGCACTCATTAGGCCCACAGTTGGAGGTAAGACAATACTTGCATGGTGGGGGATCACTGAAGAGGTGGGTGGTAATAAAATGTCCCAATTCTAGAAGAGTGACTGATGGTGTACACATGGAAGCAATGGAATTGTGTGTATACCGGGAATGAAGGAGTGATTGGTGAATGCACATATTGGGACTTTCCCGTGTCTTTCTCCATACATGTTTCTTCTTGTATGTTTCCCGTGATACAAATGTCTGTGTACAGTCAGGTCCATAAATATTGGGGACATGGACACAATTCTAAACATTTTTGGCAGATACACCACCACAATGGATTTGAAATGAAACGAACAAGATGTGCTTTAACTGCAGACTGTCAGCTTTAATTTGAGGGTATTTACATCTAAATCAGGTGAACGGTGTAGGAATTACAACAGTTTGCATATTTGCCTCCCACTTGTTAAGGGACCAAAAGTAAATGGGACAGAATAATAATCATAAATCAAACTTTCACTTTTTAATACTTGGTTGCAAATCCTTTGCAGTCAATGACAGCCTGAAGTGTGGAACGCATAGACATCACCAGACGCTGGGTTTCATCCCTGGTGATGCTCTGCCAGGCCTCTACTGCAACTGTCTTCAGTTTTTCCTGCTTGTTCTTGGGGCATTTTCCCTTCAGAAAGATTTGTCTTCAGCAAGTGAAATGCTCAATCGGAATTCAGGTCAGGTGATTGGCTTGGCCATTGCTTTTGCAGTCTGCTTTGGGTCATTGTCCATCTGCACTGTGAAGCGTCCAATGAGTTGTGAAGCATTTGGCTGAATATGAGCAGATAATATTCCTGAAACACTTCACAATTCATCCGGCTGCTTCTGTCAGCAGTCACATCATCAATAAATACAAGAGAAGCAGTTCCATTGGCAGCCATACATGCCCACGCCATGACACTACCACCACCATGATCACTGATGAGGTGGTATGCTGAGGATCATGAGCAGTTCCTTCTCCATACTCAGTTTCTCTTCCCATCACTCTGGTACAAGTTGATGTCGGTCTCATCTGTCCATAGGATGTTGTTCCAGAACTGTGAAGGCTTTTTTACATGTCGTTTGCAAACTCTAATCTGGCCTTCCTGTGAATTGAGGCTCACCAATGGTTTCCATCTTGTATGTGAACCCTCTGTATTCACTCTGAATGAAGTCTTCTCCTGATTGGTGACTTTTGACACACATACACCTACCTCCTGGAGAGTGTTCTTGATCTGGCCAACTGTTGTGAAGGGGTTTTTCTTCACCAGGGAAAGAATTCTTCGCTCATCCACCACAGTTGTTTTCCGTGGTCTTCCGGGTCTTTTGGTGTTGCTGAGCTCACCGGTGCGTTCCTTCTTTTTATGAATGTTCCAAACAGTTGTTTTGGCCACGCCTAATGTTTTTTGCTATCTCTCTGATGGGTTTTGTTTTGTTTTTTCAGCCTAATGATGGCTTCACTGATAGTGACAGCTCTTTGGATCTCATCTTGAGAGTTGACAAACAGATTCCAAATGCAAATAGCACACTTGAAATGAAATCTGGACCTTTTATCTGCTGATTGTAATTGGGATAATGAGGGAATAACACACACCTGGCCATGGAAACAGCTGAGAAGCCATTTGTCCCATTACTTTTGGTCCCTTAACAAGTGGGAGGCACATATGCAAACTGTTGTAATTCCTACACCGTTCACCTGATTTATATGTAAATACCCTCAAATTAAAGCTGACAGTCTGCAGTTAAAGCACATCTTGGGTTTCAATTTCAAATCCATTGTGTGGTGGTGTATAGAGCCAAAAATGTTAGAATTGTGTCGATGTTTCCCGTATTTATACAAATGTGTATATGATCGGCACATGATGGTCTGTCTATGACAAACGTTTCATTGATCTGATCATTTCCATGGTGATTGTGGACACATTGTGATTGGTTGATGGGGGATGGAAAGCACAGAGAGCAGGAAGTAGAGCGCCATCCTTTCTCCCTTTCTCTATTCCTAGTTCAGATTTGTAGCAGAAATCCCCAACATGTAGCAATACACGGACAATTGATATCAGACAATGAGGCCGAGGAAGGCCAATCATGAAGCTGGGGGTGGTGCAGCATAGACTGGAACAGGGTCCTCCAGGAGTGCAGCTCACACTGCGGGCAGAACTCCTCCTACTGGGACATTCAGGCTTCACACAGCTACAGCTGCACTCCCGGGACTGCCACGCCTGGACTGTATATGGGGCGGGTGTGGAGGGATGAGGAGCAGGGCTTGGCTATACTTCTATGTCTCTATTTATCCCTCTCTAATCCCACACGGCAGAGATCGGGATTCCTTTTTATTCCCTTTCTAGCTCCCTTCTTTTCTTTCCACCCCCCCCCCCTTCTCCCCCCCCTCCCTTTTCCCCTCCCCCCTCCCCCTTCTTAAGTCCTCTGCTGTATTCCTATTCCTTTGTCTTTCTTTTATGTCCCTTTGTACATTTTTGTAGGATGTATAGATGTTGATGTGATCCCCGGTCTCCTCACTCCAACACACATTGGAGAGCAGAACCCAGCAATGCTCTATGTACATCATCTGCAATGTCTATCCAGTCATTAATGTCATCTGTTCTCCCTGTTTGTAACACCCAAATGATTTGATGTTTTCTTTTTTTTTATTGACATAAAACCCAATAAATATTTCTTTAAAAAAAAAAAAAGTTCACAATGATGGTAAAAATTATTGTAGGCCCAAAATATCTATCACATCAGTAAAGAATACAATTCGAGTATCTATCCCGCCATTTGTAGACGCTGTAACTTTCACAGAAACGATTCATTTACATGGATTGGGATTTTATTTTTAGCAAAGACACGAGCAGAATACATTCTGGACGAAATTTATGACAAAATTTAATTTTTTTTTTTTTTGCTGGACATGATGAACCCCTTGCCCTCCAGAGGATTTACCACCCTTCCTGACCACGCCTCTTTTTGATACTCAGCACTGCACTAATTCAACTGATAATTGCGCGGTCATGCAATGCTGCACCCAAACTAAATTTACATCCTTTTTTCACACAAATAGAGCTTTCTTTTGGTGGTATTTCATCACCTGTGCACTTTTTATTTTTTGCATTATAAACAAAAAAAAACTGAAAATTTTGAAAAAAACAAAATTGTTTACTTTCGGCTATAAAAAATATATAGTAAACTCAAAGTTAGTCATAAATTTAGCCCAAAATGTATTCTGCTCCATGTTTTTGGTGAAAAATCCCACTAAGTGTATATTGATTGCTTTGTGTGATAGTTATAGCGTCTACAAACTATGGTATAGATAATGGAATTTACATTTTTTTTGCCATACTGCGCTGCACTAGTTTAACTGACAATTGCGCGGTCATGCAATGCAGTACATAAATGAAATTTACATCCTTTTGAGCTTTCTTTCAGTGGTATTTGATCACCTGTGCTATTTTTATTTGTGGTGCTATAAACAAAAAAAGTTTTGAAAAAAAAAAACATTTTCTCATTTCCATCATAAAAATATTCAAAAATACTAAAATATTCTGCTACATGTTTATTGGTTAAAAAAATAATCCCAAAAAGTGTATATTGATTGCTTTGTGTGATAGTTATAGCGTCTACAATCTATGGGAGAGATCATGGAATTTACACAGCTTTTACTTTCTGACTGCCCATCACATTTCCTGAGGTGCTAAAATACCAGGATAGTACAAACACCCCCAAATTACCCCTTTTCAGAAAGTAGACACCCTAAGCTATCTGCTGAGAGGCATATTGAGTCCATGGAAGATTTATTTTTTTTTTTCCACAAGTTTTTGGAAAACAACAAAAACTTTTTTTTTAACCCAAAGTTGTCATTTAAATTATATATTTCTCACACAAGCCATAGTTATATGTGGAATTACACCCCAAATACATTCTGCTACTTCTACTGAGTATGGGGATACCACATGTGTGAGACGTTTTGTGAGCCTAGCCACATACAGGATCCTGAAATCCAATGACCACTTTGAAAGCCTGAAGGTGTGTAACTTCCTCATTTCACTTCCTCACTACCTATCACAGTTTCGAAGGCTCTGAAATGCCAGGATAGCACCAAACCCCCCCCCCAAAGTAGACACCCCAAGGAATTTAAAAAAAAGAGGCATGTTGAGTATTTTGCAGTTCTATTTTTTTTCTCACAAGGTTTTGATATAAAAAAATAAGACAAAATATGTTTTTGTTTTTTTCTTCAATTTTCAAAAACTTGTGGCAACAAACGAGATCTGCAAAATACTCACCATGCTTCTTATCAAATTCCTTGGGGTGTCTACTTTCCAAAAAGGAGTCATTTGGGGGGGTTGATGCTATCCTGGCATTTCAGGGCCTCAGAAACTGTGATAGGTAGTCAGGAAGTGTCAGGAAGTCTGCAACAAGCTCACCTCCAT